AAAAATATTCTCTCTGCTCGAAGCGTTTAGAAGAATATTATTTAAACTGAATTGAAATGATAGGGTAATGTTTTTTATAATAATTTGAGCAATATATACAATATTTCGGTACTCTCGATTCGCGTATACTCACAACATTGATTCGAGATCGAGGCGAGCATGTAGGCCAGTTCCAACATCTTCGTGTACATCTTCAGCATAGCAGCTTCGAGTAATTCGACGATGATGATCGGCAATTTAGAATTCTCCATAGCTCGACGACGAAAATCCAGTTTCACTGCCGCGACGTTCTTTGGTTTCGTTTTGATTAATAAACAATCAAGAGCCGCGTGAATCCGCTGGACATCTTCCTCGTCGGGTAAAATTGTCAGAAGATAACCCAGCAACGTGAAATAATGTTCCATTACGGCGGAGCTAACGAGACTCTCGGAAGTGTGTTTCAGCAAAGGCGGCTGACTGCATAACTGCAACATCCTGTCCAGATGCGCCCGATAGTCGTTGGCTTCCCTGGTCTTCCAGGCTAGAAATTCTAGCACCTTCATTACAGCCGGCAGGTGTTTGACTGGCTGAAAGACGTCTTTGAGGAAACATACTGAGAAAATGATTAGGAAACATCGAATAAATTGGAGCACCTTGTGCGAGTGAGAGCAAAGTGAGTATTAATAAAGTAAAAGTATAAAAATTTAATTTATAATAAGTCATTTTACATACCAATTTTTAAATAATGCTTTTGTTAAAAACGATATTATATTTAAGGCCTCAAAAGTATATTTTATTAATTGGATAATTGTCAATACTCGCATTTATCGTTTATTTATCTACAATTATTCTCGAAAATAAATGTAGATTTCCTAAATTATATTTAAAAACAGATATAATGTATTTTTATTTTTTTTTAAAGTCAGCGAGCCCCAATAGATCTTAATCAAAGAGATTTTTATTTCTAACTTGTGCGAAGGATACGTAACCGTCGTCGCCGATCTCACGCAGATAATCAGACAAAAGTCGTGATATTCGTGCGACATTATCGCTGGTGACGGGATCCGACACGAGTTTTCGCAGCTTTTCCACGGTATAATCTGCATCTATTCGGCGATATTTTTCCGCGTCGTTCAAATGTGATACGGGAAAATCGTGGATCACGTATTTCGGACAGGCGGACTCCTCGGTGATGAAACGATGATCCTGTCGTTTCCGTTCCATTTTTGTGTTAAATTATTCACGAAAGACAGTTATATAAATTACATATACATCGTACTCGACGATCTTGCTCGAACATTAATCGTCGATAATAAATTAACTTCGCGTCGCGAATCGACTGTATCTTGTTCCGCGCGATACACCGTGACCGATTCCGGTTCTTCCACGTGATACGTTATCGGTAAATTAAGACGGCTCGAGTCTCGACGAGATGAGAAACGCTTCAAAAGGAAAGATCCGCGCGCCGAACCGGTAACACGTGTTCGGCGATTAATTAGAAACCAACGTTCGCATTAAAAGTCCAATTGCATAATGTAATATGATAGCAGTTATATCGATCAGATTTATTGGAATGTAAAAGGACATTAATTTTTGCGGGTGAATGAAAATAACGAAAATATATTCTCCATATCTCATTATTATTTTATTTAAATCTTTGTCGCAATATAAGCTGTCAATTACAGAAAGATATGTTAATTTATTATTTAAAAATGTGTTAATGTAGAGGTAATACAACAATATGCAATATTCTTGAAAAATGAAAACTTTGGCTTACGGAATCACGCGTGAGATACGTGTATTATATAAATCTCGTTTGCACAAAGAAAGCAGCGTAGGTAAAGATAATAGCAGATCATGGTCCACGAACTGGCGCTCCCTGGGCGCTGACACGCCAACTCACGAGCGGCTGATACGGGCCTTTCCTTTCTCCTTCAAATTATGCGATTCAAAAAAATTCTTTTATGATGGTGCACTCCAACGTCGCGTCGTTCTAATCTAGATGCAAAAGATGCTCTTGCAAGTCGACACTTGTTCTTAATTAGCATCTCTAGAAATAAAGTCGCGAAATTATCCCCATTTCTCGAGAGAAAACTTAACATGTGTTTAAAAAGCTTAACCGTAATCGGCAGGTGTCTTCACACACACACATATTCACGTACAAGTAATAGAACTCACTTGTACAGGATGTCGAAAGAATTACAGACACAAATTTTATTCTTAGATTTCTTTAACAAAGTTGAAATAAAATTAAATATTGTTTCATTAAATATTATTAAATATCGTTTTCTTTTATAGTTCTCTAATTTCTTGCATGCAGTTTTAGTAAATATTTTAGCAATTGAATAAAAAAATGTCGATATTAAAAAAAAAATAAAACTGTAAAAATTGAATCGATAAAAATAAAAATTGAATAAAACTGTAAAAATTTTGATCGAGTAAAATCTGTTTTGTATATACATGTGAAATTAAATAAGAAAGAATTTTTATTATTGTTGCGCAATCACAGGAGATTATTTTGTGAAAAAGACGGTCAGCCATAAAGATGACCATCTTTATGGCTTATAATTTAAAAAAGAAATTTCTTCGGACCGATTTTCCTAAGAACCTTCTTAAAGTTTATACTTGCAATTTCCTGACACCTTGTATAGTAAGATTCCTATCAGAGAGAAAGAGAGAATTCTAT